GATGCCTGTGCTTCTCATCTCTTAGTGGCTCAAGATTGGTTATTCAATGATGATGTTAGTTGATACCTTGTCACTCACTGTTGGCCAAGTCCTGGTAACAGGCCTGGGCTCAGCTCATTGAGAGAATCTTGCCTAACACACAGTGCCTGCATCAATGTGCTGCCAGCGGAAAACAAGGACAAACTAATATGACAACAAACTTCTCTTCTCTGTTTGGCATCAATTTTCCACTTGTTAGACCAATTTTATCGATATAGAAATACACTATTATCTCTCTCATTTTAAGAAACTCCTTCTGTTTACTCCATTTCCCTTCCAGCTCTGATTGCTCTGCTCATCCTTTACAGTTAAGCTCCTCAAAAAAGTTCTTTACTCAGTCTCCAATCTCTATCCTCCGTCTCACTTTCTTTTTTATTACTGTTATTGAGATATAATTCATATACCATAACATTCACCATTTTAAATTGTACAATCCAATGACTTTCAGTACACCCCCAAAGTAAGCCCCAGACTCATTAACAGTCACTCTTACTCTCTTTTCTCCTCAGCTCTTTGCAACTACTGATATACTTTCTGTCTTTATGTATTTTCCTTTTCTGGGCATTTCATATAAATGGAATCATATGGTATTTGTTCTTTTGTGTCTAGCTTTTTTTACTTGGCATAATGATTTTGAGGTTTATCCATGTTGTAGCATGTATCTGAACTTCATTTCCTTTTTTGGCTGAATAATATCATGGTATGGATAGATCACATTTTGTTTGTCCATTCATCACTTGATGGACACTTGAGTTGTTTATACTTCTTGGCTATTACGAACAATGCTGCTGTGGTCATTTATGTATCCATTCTCTCTTAAGAGAATATTCTACTCAAGCTTTGGTCCCCCCACTGTGTCAGAACACCTGCTCCTTTCAGGTAAACAATGATCTTCATGCTACAGTGGTGGATACATAACGTTATACATTTTTCCAAATCCATAGAATTCATAATACAGAGGGAACCCTAATATAAACTATGGGTTTTACGTGGGCAATATATGTAACTTTAACACTTGTACCCCCATAATACACTAAAATAAAAAAAAAAACCTATGGGTTTTAGTTAATAATAATGTGTCAACATTGGCTCATCAATTGCAACAAATGTACCACAATGATTAATGCAAGATGTTAATAATAAAGGAAACTGGTGGGGGGAGGTTATGGGCATTCCTTGTACCTTCCAGTTAATTTTTCTATAAACCTAAAACTACTCTAAAAACCCACAACAACCCAACCATCGCCACAGTGCTAAATTGAATGGCCAATTCTCAGTTTTCATATTACTTGACTTAGGAGTATTTGGCACAGCTGATCACTCCTTTTTCCTTGAATCACCTGTTTTACTTGGTGTTATGGTCTGAATGTGTCCCCTCAAATTCATATGTTAAGCTTAATTGCCAATGTGATAGTATTAAGAGGTGGGGCCTTTAGGAGGTGACTAGGTCAATAGGGCTCTGCCCCTTTAATGGGATTAGGGACTTTATGGAAGGCCTGAAGAGAACTAGCAAAGTCTCCTTTTGCCCTTTGCCCTTTTGCCATATGAGGACTCAGGAAGAGGTGCATGGTGGAAGCAGAGCGGAAGCCATATCAGACACTGACTCTGCCAAGCCTTGATCTTTGACTTCTGAGCCTCAGAACTGTGAGAAATAACTTTCTGTTCTTCATAAATTGCCCAGCATAAGGTATTTTGTTGTAGCAGCACAAATGGACTAAGATACTTGGCTGCCAGGACATCCCACTCTCCTAGTGTTTGTTTTTTTGTTTTTTTTTTTGAGACAGAGTCTCACTCTGTTGCCCGGGCTAGAGTGCCGTGGCATCAGTCTAGCTCACAGCAACCTCAAACTCCTGGGCTCAAGCGATCCTCCTGTCTCAGCCTCCTGAGTAGCTGGGACTACAGGCATGCGCCACCATGCCCGGCTAATTTTTTCTATATATATATTAGTTGGCCAATTAATTTCTTTCCATTTATAGTAGAGACGGGGTCTCGCTCTTGCTCAGGCTGGTTTCGAACTCCTGAGCTCAAATGATCTTCCCAACTTGGCCTAAAGAAAGCTGGGCATGAGCCACTGTGGTGCCTGGCCCCACCTCTCCTAGTTTTCATCCTACACTTCACTAGCCTTTCCTTCTCAGTCTCTCTTGCTGGTTCCTCTCCGTATCCTCAGCTCTACACATTGGAATGCTTCATGGTCAGTCTTTCGATCTCTTTTCTTCCTTGTCTGCCTTCATTTTCACGAGTATCTCATACCATCTCATGGCTTTAAATGCAATCTGAACACTGGTAGATCCCAAATTTCACCATCTACCCTCTCCCCTCAATTCCAGACTTATATATCCAACTGCCTACTTGATATTTTCACTTAGATGTCTAACTAAATTGATCATATCCAAAACTGAATTCCTGATCTCCCACCTCACAACTTTCCAGTATAATGGTAAATGAACACCTCAACATCCAGTTGCTCAGGCCAAAAATCTTAGAGTTGTCTTTGACCCCTTTTTCTCCCACATCCCACATTCAATCTATCAGTAAGTCCTGACAGCTTTACTGTCAAAATGTATTCAGATTTTTAGCACCTCTTACTGTCCCCATTCTCTGGTCCAAGTCACTATCTTTTGCCTGGATTACTGCAATAGCTCTCTCCTCCCCAGTTAGGTTCCTCTGCTTCCACTACACAGTGTGATTTCAGTGCAAAATGATTATTTAAAACTTTAAGTCAGATTATGCCACTTCTTTACTGAAAACTCTCCAGTGACGCCACCTCTTACCCAGTGTCAAAGTCGAAGTCACTACCGTGGCCTACAAGGCCTTACACGATGTAGTTCTAGTCACTTAATTGATTTCATGTCCCCATTGTTCTTACTCCACTCCAATCACAATGGCTGCCTTACTATTCCTTGAACATGTCAGGCTTGCTCCTGCTGCAGGGCCTTTGTGCTTGCTGTTCCTTCTGCCTGGAATCTGCTTCCCCATCATCACATATTCATACTGCTTACTCCCTCACCTCCTACAGGTCTTTGCTCAAATGTTACCTTCTTAGTGAGGCCTTCCCTGCCCACCCAATCTACAATAAAAACCCTTTCTGTCCCATCTACTTATTTCCCTTACCCTACTATATTTTTCTCCATAGAATTTATCACCATCTGAAGTTATATACATCTTACTCATCTCCCTTCAGTACAATGTGAACTCCATGAAGGCAGGGATTTTTATCTGTTTTGTTCATGGCCATATTCCCAGCACCTAGAATACTGTCTGGTTCATAGTTGGTGTTCAGTAAATATTTGTTGAATAAATAAATAAATAGTTGATCTGGTTATTTTGAAAGCTAGTTAATACTTGAGCCATTTCTTGTTGGGGACTGAATTCTACCTTTAGCTTTCAAAATAGTTGTTTGCCTAACTTCACCTGCAGTATCATCTGGCATGAGTTTTAAAAAAAGATATCAAAGTTTCTCATTAGAAACTTTATCTTTTCTAAGGGTAGTATATTTAAAAACATGGGCTCCTGAGTCAGACTATAAGGGTTTGAATCCTGGACATCTGTGTGAATCAGGACAAGTAACCATTCTGTGCCTCAGTTTCCACTTTCATAAAATGAACATACTTATGAACACCAATCCCATGTTGTTATTATGGAGATCAAATAAAATAACATGTGCAAATCACCTAGTACCTGGAACTTAGTAAATCTTTAGTGAATAGTAGCTTTTATCATTCTTATTAAGATGTAAGAGAAATTTTTCAAAAAATGGAGGAAGACTTGCAACAGAAACAAATGAATACATTTTTCTGAGTGAAACTAAAATAGCTGTTCAGCTCTTTTGTATAAATGGCATTTCTTTGGGAAATGATCCAAACTTGAATGCCAATTGCTTTGTTTCTCTCCTCTGGAGGCTTTCATGGGGCTGGACACATTTGCTTCATATTCTCTACATCTTCACAGAATAGTCACACTTGGAACCCCTCATCCTTAACATCTCTACTTCTCCCATTCTTCAACTTTAATGGCATTCCTGACTCTGGGTTCAGATTCCACAGATTATCCTGATTCAGTATACTGTTTCAAAATTCAGCAATTCCCTTTGTAGGAAAAATGCTTCCTAAGTGCTGGCAGACCAGCTTTCTAAATGGGTTGACTTGCAAACGAGGCTGGCCATGCTTTAAAAAACAAGGACAATGGTCTCTACTTCTGTGTCATGGCAGCTCCTAGTAGCTTGCTGTCAGACACACTTTGTGTTAATTCCCAGTTAAACAAAGTTATCACAGAACCAGTCTGTAAATGCCAAAATGTGCAGGATTCTTTGATCTGTGCAGGGGCCCCGGAGGAAGCCCAAGCCTGTACAGGAGCATTTGGCTCCACATTTTACAGAAGCAGCCAGTGGAATGGAGCCTTTTCTATTCAGCACTTGCCTCACATAATTTTACACTCGCTTCCCAGGGGCCACTTCTTATATTTTAACTTCTCTCTTACCTCCCACAGCAACTTATTCTGAGTTGGGCTGGGCTGAACTGGGCTGGGCACACATTCATTTATTCATTCATTAAACCCCACAGGGCTCAATAAATACTTGTTAAATCACACTGCTTCTTTGCTGCTTTAGAACTATTATCTAGTTTTGTTATTTAAATGAAATTTTACCTTGTCTTCCCAGGGATGCTGTAAATTTCTTGAGTACTTGGGCTTCTACCTCATTCCTATTTCCTGCAGTGCCACACTTGATTCTTCTTTCCTTCATTCTATGTTTTTATTATTAAGCTCTGCAAACCACTCTGGAAAAATGGGTTTGAACCCTAGGAGTTGGGTAAAATTTTCTTCTTGACTTTTTATTTTTTTTTTATTGTGGTTATTAGGAGAAAATAGCATGCAAAACCCAGCAATTACTAAGCCATTTCCCACTGTAGTACAATTTTCAAATAAAAACCTAACAAAGCCTATGTGGAGAATTAGAAACTTACTCATAAACAGTTGTCCATCCATTTTCGTTACTTTTGGTGGCCAGAAGTCCTGTGTTTCCTGGATAGGTCATCAAGGCCAGATTATAGCCTTGAGCTGACACTCTTTTAAGGACTCCATTGCTGCTTATGGTCAGCCAGTACACCTGCCCACCTGGCACCACAAGCCAAAGGGGCATCCCTCCTGCGTCACGGCGAATGTGTACCGAATTGCCATTGCTGCTGGTAATTGCACCCAAGTCACCTTCAGCATTGTAGGTGAAGTTATACACGTAGTCCCTTGTTATCAAGTTCAGGGTGTGCAGGTGGGTTCCATTGACAGTGAACTGGTACAGTTCCTGATCAGCAGGTGAGGCAATCTCATAAAGGTTCATGTCATTCAGGTGGGCTTGGTTCTTGCTGATGGTACGAATTCGAACATTTCCAAGGTCTGCCACATAGAGGGTACCATCAGGTGATACTGCTAAGGAGGAAGGCGCCTTCATCTTTGCATCTTTGGCATAGCCACCATCACCTGTGGGAGAAAGATCTTGATTTTAACAGTTGGCATCACAAGCATTTATATGAATATACTACAGACAGAAAACACTGTGCACCAAGATTCATTTTAAAGGAAACAATCAGCGAACCAACATTCTCCGTATGTCCCCCCTTGACAAATTTGAAACCTATTATTCAAACGATTGTAATTCTTGAGTAAGTGCCATTGAAGATGAACAGTAAGATGTAATTATCTCAGTTACACCAATTTTGTGAAATCCTCAATCCTGCTGTTCAGAATCTATTGTATTGCAAGATACAAGAACAGCAAATAGGGATGACCATACAAAATTTGGATGGAAATCCATGAGACTTATGCCTGTCAGTGCTTTAGGATCTGTTTCAGGACCTACCATGCCTACAGGCCCTTTCTTCTGTTAATTCCTATTGTCACACTGTCAAAGTACACTAAGTCTATAAGTGTGACAATAATTCAGAACATCAAATTTGATAACTGGTATAAACATTAGAATTGCCTGGAATGAAAGGTACAAATTAGCAAAATATCTATAAAACTAATTGTCCAGGAAAACATTGGAAATATTGATCAAAAGTCATATCGATCAATTGCTTGCTTCTGACTCCTCTGGCCTAAGGAAAGGCAAAGGTTAAGGGGACCATTCAGGCCTGGATGAGCAGTTTAATAGGGCTGCATGTACCATGGAGGGATTTCCACATCTCAGCAATAAATTTATCTGCTGACATTTAGAGGACTATTTGCTATCTATGTTTTGGGGAAAAGGCTCTTTCTTCCTATTTCAATTAGAAGTAAAGGGCACTATTGGTTATAAAGAAAGTTTTGGATTTTGGAAAAGCAATGCATGTAGCAGACTGATGTCCTGAGAACCCTCCATTGTGAGATTTAATTTTGCCCATTTATCCCCAAAGCAGTCTGTTCTTAGTCCCTTCGCATCTCAAATAGCACATTGCTTTTAATCTGGAAATCAGGCACTTAGGGGGAAGTATTTTTTTTCCTTAGTTAAATCAGTAAATATGGGTTTTACCTAGATTTGCTTTCTCTTAAGTACAAATAATATTGTGATCTTACATTTGTATAGTGGTCTTAATTTTTTACGAGTATAAACAATTTTATTACACCAGGTTATCCTCAGAACAGCAAGGTGATATAACTGAGACAAGTGCTATCCCTGTTAAGTAAATGAGGAAAGTGAGTCATGAAGAGGTTTAGTGGCTTTCTAGGGTCACTAAGTCAGATGTGAGAACAACTAGGTGATCTGACTCCCTACCCATTGCTTTCCTCCACTAGCTCATACCAATATTTGTAAAACTGTTGTCTTCTTTTTGACTTTTCTGATGCATGTTGTTTTTCTTTTGAAAACAGAGAGGGGGAGCTGGTGAACTGCTGAAAAGGTCATACCTGAAAAACAGTCACAGTTGGGATCAATTTTGCAGTCACAGTCAGTGGGGGCACCAGCAATGATGGAGATCTCCCCATTGGTGGTCACTTGCTGAATGCGGTTTACTTTCCTCTCGTCTGTTTCAGCTATGAAGAGCAGCCCGCTGTGGGAGACGCTGATGGCCCTAGCCGACTCTAGAGTGGAGTGAATTGCTACTTTGCTGACCAAGAAATGATCGATGCCTGGCACCTGGCAGTGAATGGGGCGCCCTGCAATGATCCGCACACGCCTGTTCTCAGAAATCTGCAGCACAATGTTGTTATCTAAGACATACAATGAATTGTCCATGGGATTGACTGCAAGGTCTGTTGGCCACTCTAATCGCACCTGCGAAAAGAACAGAACACACACCATTAGGTTACTATATCTTTCCAGGGTTTTACATTGAAAGGAAAAATTGGCTTATTGTTTCTCCCTGTCTTACGAATTTCAGCAACATTGGTGATGTCTGGAAAGGTTGAGGGGTGAATGGTTAATCACATGTTCTGGTAAACATATTTATCATTTATGTCATTTCCAACATAATGTGATTTTTTTTCATTAATTCCAGAAGGATCCTCTAGAGCAGCAGTTTTCAGAGTATGGTCTCTGGACCAGCAGCAACGGCACCACCTGGGAACTTGTTAGATATGCAAATTCTCAGGCCCCACCCTAGACCTATTGAATCAGAAACCCTGGGGGGGGGCAGCCATGATGTTTTATTTAACAGGCTTCCAAGTGATCCTGAGGACCACTGCCCTAGGATTGCTATGATTTACAAATCTCTTTCACTGTCCTGTAGATGCCAAGAAGAGCAAAGTCATAGGGGCTTCTGGACAACAGAATGCTGGAGAAAACAGGTTTTACTCAATCAGCAACCTTTTGGGACAGGACCTGCCATTAGTATAGCATTCATCTTGTGGAGTTTATCATTTGGAATCCTAGGCTGTAACATACTGTTCACTTAGCTTGACCTGGTTCACTTTATATGCCCCTTACCTCAGCAAAGAAACAGCTTAGTTTGTTATTTCATTGAATGTTTGCTGAGTACTTTTCTCTGGCCAAGCCTTGTGCTAGGCTTTGGGGATTCAAAAATCACTATGACATAGCCTCTGCCCTCAAATGACTTATGGTTTAGTAGAGCCCTTGGAGGACCATTAGGCAATTACTTCTCCATGTTATGAGAAGAAGGTAGCAGAGAGGGTAGGAGAGCACTTCACCTGGACTGGGAGGCAGGAGGCAGGATATCCCCAGAGAAGGAGAGTCTGAAATGACCAGTAGGAGAGGAATGGGGTAGAAAGTGGGGAGGGGCCAGGGAAAGTTAGGAGGGGCCAGGAGGAAAGTTAGGAGGGGCCAATCTGGGCACAGGGAAAAGCATGGGTGAAGGTCAAGAGATTAGAGACTGCATGGCCCATCCAGGTTACTACAAATAATTCAGTAAGGCTAACATAGGCTGAATGATGAAGCCAGGTGTTATGAACTGAATTGTATATTCCCCAAAGTCATATATTGAAGCCCTAACCCCCTGATGTGACTGTTTTTGTAGATAGGGCTTTCAAAGAGGTAATCAAGATGAAAGGAAATCATAAGGGTGAGGCTCTAATCCAATAGGTTTAGTGTCTCTACAATAAGAGGAAGGGACAACAGGAACATGTGTGCACAGAGGGACAACTATACGAAGACATAGCCAGAAGGCAACCATCTACAAGCCCAAGGGAGAGACCTCAGAAGAAACCAAACACACCAACATCTTGATCTTATACTTCTAGCCTCCACAAGTGTGAGAAAATAAATTTTTGTTGTTTAAGCCACCCACTCTATAGTATTTTGTATGGCAGTCCTATCAGACTAATATATCGGGTGCTATGGTTTGAATGTGTCCCCCAGATTTCATGTGTTGGGAAGCTTAATCTCCAAATTCATACATTGATGGCATTTGGAGGTGGAGCCATATTCATCACCTCAAACATTTATCATTTCTTTGTCATGAGAACATTCAAAATCCATTCTTCTAGCTATTTGAAAATATATAATAAATTTTTGTTTATTATAGTCACCCTATAGTGATATAGAACACTAGAACTTATTCCTCCTATCTAGGTGTTCTTTTGTATCTGTTAACTGATCTCTAGTTATCCTTCCCCCAACTTCCCAATCTCTGGTAACCACTATTCTACTCTATACTTGTATGAGACCAACTCTTTTAGCTTTCACATGAGTGAGAATACACTGTATTTATATTTCTGTGCTTGATGTATTTGACTTAACATAGTGTTCTTTAAGCTCATTCACGTTGCCAACAATGGCAGAATTTTGCTCTTTTTGATTGCTAAATATTATTCTATTGTGTATATATATCATATTTTCTTTATTAATTCATCTGTTGATAGACACTTGGGTTGATTCCATATCTTGGTTATTGTGAATAATGCTGCAATGAACATGGGGGTGCAGATATCTCTTTGACATACTAATTCCCTTTCCTTTGGATATATACTCAGTAGTGGAATTGCTGGATCATATAGTAGTCCTATTTTTAATTTTTTGAGGAACATCCATACTGTTTTCCATAATGGCTGCACTAATTTACATTCCCACTAATAGCACATGACAGTTCCCCTTTCTATGCATCCTCACTGGCATTTTTTTTTTTTTTTGTCTTTCTGATAATAGCTATTCTAGCTGGGGTGGGATGATATGTCATTGTGGTTTTGATTTGTATTTCCCTGTTTGAAAGATAATTAAGATTTGATAAGGTTGGGCCCCATGATGGGACTGGTGGCTTTATAAGAAGAGGAAGACAGACTTGAGCTGCCATATTCTTGCCCTCTTGCCCTATGATGTCCTCTGCCATGTTGAGACATGGCAGGAAGGCCCTCACCAGATGCCAGCACCATGTTTTTGGACTTCATGGCCTTCAGAACCATGAAACAAATATATATCTTTTTTAGAATAAATTACTCAGTTTGTGATATTCTGTTATAGTAACAAAAAACAGACTAAGACACCCGGTAATAGAGGGAAGCACATGTCCAATTTTATTCTGATGGCTGTGGGAAGCCACTGAAGGGTTTAAATAGGGCTATGTGATAGTCATATTTGGATTCTAGACAGATCACAATGGTTGCTGTTGAGACCATATTGGAGGAGGAAGTGAGAGGGGAGGCAGGCAGGCAGACAGGAGGCTCCTGCAGTGACCCAGGTGAGTGATGGTGGTGCCTGAACTGGCATAACAACAGTGGACATTGAGGGAAGTAGGTGGATTTGAGACGTGCTAAAGAGTTGAAAGCAAATGGATTGGGGTGTGTGTGTGTGTGTGTGTGTGTGTGTGTGTATGTGTGTCTATGTGCCTTGTGCCAAGTGATGTGTGAGGGACATCCAGGCCAACCAAACATGACTTCACTTTAGTTCCTTTCTAGACACAGAAGTTGGCTCAATGTCTGTCCTGGCATCTCCTTGATAGAAGCTATTTATCCCTGACCATTTCTCAGAGAACTGTTTTCCACTCCACTCCCTACCACACTGCTCACTTATTCTCTACTTATTTCTCTTCTCTTAGGCTAGATAAAGGCAGAAAAAAATGTCCCATTTATGGCCAAAATAGTAACATAGCCACACTTTTTTTTTTTTTTGCTTTGAATGAAAGCCCAAGGAATGCTGGAATGCTTTGTTTTTCTCATGGAATCTGAAAGTCTGAAAGTCTGAAAACAAGATATGAGCTGTCATTACATTCGGAGGCCCACTACTTACCTGGCTGGAAGAGGCCTTACATGCAGTCAGTAATAAAGTGGATAAAGGCCAGGGTAAGATAAGGCCCTTTCTCTAATTGTGTCTCATAAGGGACAAAAACTAGTGATGCTATGAAGAGGATGAAGGTTATCTTTGACCTCCTCTACTGCAACACATGTGGCTCTTTGCCCCCATCTCCGAGTGTCTCTCCTAGACACCCAGTGACCTTACTCTGTCCCCATGTTTCTGTGTGCCCTCCACCTCCACATAGGCTGGCCTTCTCTGGTCAGTACCAGATGCCTCTGGGCAGTTAGAAATTCGAGTGCTAATGGGGTATAAAGCTCAACTTGTGTTATGCATGTTCTACAGAGCCTTACAGACTGAGGCCATTGGATAAACATTAAACACCAGCCTTAATAGCTCCCAGAGCAGTTTGTGGTGATGTGTTCCTCAGCACGTCTGTCTGAGGCCTTTGCATGTTGGTGCCCTGCCACTGAGAGGGAGAGTGAATGCCTGCTGCTTTGGAGGGCTCTGACTCCTCCTCTGCTAAGTGCCCCTGCCTCGGCCCTCTGTATACACTATCATGCTTGTACAGAAGCTGTCTGTGTGCACGGGCCCTATGGAGCATGGCCCCCCAGGAAATTAGCCGGGGCTGGCTGAGGAAGAGGAAATGAATTCATTTCAGTGCAACACTCCTATTTTGATCGAGTCTGAAGCCAGTGACCCAGAAAAAACAAACCTGGCAGAAATGACGTTCTAATTATCCCCACTCTGGGAGCCGAGGCCAGGGCAGAGGCCGGGGACAGCACACACCTGGCAGAAGCCAGAGAAGGAGCATGTTTCAGATTCTGTTCTCAGCTATCAAGGCTGCCTCTGAGATAAAGGCTGGTAGCTGGAAAATAAGCTATTAAATTCCCCAACTCGCCCAACCTGATTTAAGCCAATTCTATTGGTGTCATGTTTATTAGATCTAATATTGCCTCAAAAATACACAAGCTATTTTGTCTGTTAGTTTTCTTTTCCATCAAATAAGTCCCCCCATGGCAGATTTTTTGTGACTAAAGTGGCCTTTGTGCTTCTGAGACACTTTCTATACCAACTACACAGAATCCATTTAATTCCCATTTGATTTGGCTGGGCAGCTTGTCTATGAAATCTGCTCAGATGAAAGATGTGTGGCTACTTAGTAGTCGAGGGTCAGCCTTTTCAGAAGCTGGACCTCTTTACCTCTCTTAGGTTGTCAGTTCCTTTTATGTCCTTCTCATGTTAAATACTCCCATTTCCAGGTAATTTTTTGAAGGAACTGGTGCCTTACACTCACACAATAGAAACACTGTATTTACTAGCAAGGCATTTCTGCAACACGCAGACTAACATAGGAAATGGAGTCTTTGAGCTGATTCTGGCAGTTAGAATTAGCATCTCTTAGTTGCAGAGAGACTCCAGAATTATATGCTACTGACGTGGGGCTAAGGCTGACCCTCAAGAGCTGTTGGCATTTGTCCAAGTGGTTTGGGGGGGGGATAAACACTTCCTTTTGTGAGTGGGAGCAGAAAGAGATTGAAGAGCAGCAGTAAAGCTTTGTAAACTCTGCCTAGTGATCCGGCCTACGGGCAAAC